CCCAGCAGATGTCTGGGTAGTTTAGGTCCCCCATGACTACTGCCTCCTTAGCTTTTATGGTCTCCGAGAGCTGCCTCAGGAGCCCCGAATCTAGTTCTTCCCCTTGGTGTGGGGGTCTGTAGCAGACCCCTACCACCAAATCCCTTTCTCCTTGCCCCCCATGTAACCTAACCCACAATCCTTCTACTTTCTCATCCTTCGATTCCGTCTTGATGAGGGTCGAAGTATATTGCTCATTGACAAAAAGCGCAACCCCTCCCCCTTTCTTCCCCACCCTGTCCTTTCTATACAGCCTATAACCCTCAATATGTACCGCCCAGTCGTGGGACGAATCCCACCAGGTTGGAATCCCATCCGCAGCCTGGAGTCAAGAGCTCCATCTGCATGGAAGCTGGAACCATGGACTCCATCTGGGTAAAGACCCCTGAAGTAGCAGGTGCGGGAGGTCCAACCAGATCAGGAAGCCTCAGGGTGCAGTGCATGCCCATCACCGTAGTGCTGGGTAGGCCCTGTTCGCACAGCTCCTAGGTGCTTGTTTGAGTAGGAGACCAGATGGGTATGATTACCCCCATGTCGCCTTCTCCAGCAGCTGATGCTGTTGCTGCAGCCTGGCAGACAGGCTTGAATAGCTTCCTGGAGGAGGGTCCCCTGGCTTCCCGGCTTCTCAAACAGTTGGGGGATTCCCTGGGTCCCCAGGTATCGCCCGGACAAGGGGGGGTGGGTAGAGGAGGAGGGCTGATCCCTTGACCCCTTTACCTGAGTTCCAGCATCCGAGGTCTGTCCCACAGTGGGGGGGGGCTTTAGTTGCCCAGGGGCGTAACAGGGGTTGAGAGCCTGCTGGTGGCCCCTCAGAGCACCCTCCTGCGCTAACTCACGTGCCAGGACCAGAGTGCGACTGCTTGCACAGCCCCCTGGGGGCTGGGCTATGTAGGGGCTGGGGAGTGGGCATGACCCTCCTTGACTCCACTTGGCTGCCCCCCACCACCATTTATAGCTACCCACTGCCGTCCACCACTTACTTCCTGGCTCCGCGCCAGGGGTTGGGGGTCTGCAGTTCTTGGGGAGACAGTGGGCTTTCGCCTGTGCATCTCCTCCAGAGAGCTGGCCCCAACAATTAAACCAGCTGTGGATTCATTCAGGGCACCTGAGTATCCTCCAAACAGTGCCTTGTTTCAAAGGCACAGTTCATACTATCAACTAATACAGCCTCTACTTTAACAGGGATAGTGCCTGGGAAATCACTGGTAAATCTCATTCCATGAGCTCAACTCTTTGTATCATCCAAACCCTACAAGGGAAGAGATTCTAGACCTTCTTTGTTTAAACATAAAAAGTGCCAAACCACTCAAAATAGCGTGAAAACTTCACCAGATTCTTAGTTTGAATCTGAGAAGAAAGGGACAAGAAAGTACAATGAACAGATGCTTACAAAATACTTAGAAAATAACTTACATATAGATGAAAATGTAAGAAGCATGATAATACTTTGGGTGCAGCCATAGGGAACTTGATCAGAAGTGTTTGCAGGTAAATTTCTAATTCCTTCTGTCTTTTTTCCACCAAGGTTTTAGAATTTTTCCCAATAATTTTCTTGGGAGGCAACAGGTTTTTATCTATTTTCTTTTCTGAAACAAGCTGAAAAAAACCCAAGGATATTAGAGTTAGCGCTTGAAATAAGTATTACTTTTTGAGCTTGCAGTAGTAACAGAACATACTGAGAGATTTATCTTTTTTTCTTTAAATTCCTGGTAAAACTGCAACTACTCAATTAAGTTTGGCTACTACTCATGTTTTTGGTGAAAGAATATACGAACACTAGAACAATAAAAGATTTAACAAAATAAAAATTTTGGCAGTCAGTGCCCGAAAACGTTTGAACCCCATCCTCTCCCTAAACCAACTTTACCAGCAAAGCTCACATATACCAATGACTAATATAAATATTTCAGCAAACAAATCCTATGGAAAAACAAAGGGTTACTGGTGAGCTCTAGTCTGCATGCCTAGGACTCATTTATAAATTGCTCTATCACTATTTTAAATCACTACAGGTTAATAGGTGCAAGAAATGACTATTCAACAATTGCCTGTTAAGGTCAAGAGTCTGAAAAACACTGGCAGAGACAGTCCATCTAAGAGTGGAATGCAGTGGGGCTTATTATATTGCCCAGGCAAAGAGAACAACATTTGTCAGGGCATTCTACCCTGTCACTTTGACTAGAACTATATGGCAAAGCCCAAATAGTAATTTTTGTGTTTTGTTTTGTTTTTTTAAAGAGGGAGGTGGAGAAAAAGAAGCAGCTTCAGCAATTTTGTTTGACAAAGCATAGCTTGAAAAGCTATTCAAGATGTTTTGCAAGAGCTCAAAGACAAGATCATTATCTTTTAATGATTTTTACCTTTTCGTGTAGGTCATGGAAGTCACTGTAACGATGTTTGACTGTCCACTGATGACTTCCAACACTGACTTGAATAATATATACCTAAAGAAAACAAAAAGCAAAGCAGGGTGGATAAAAATAAATGATTTTTTTAATTTAAAAAAAGAATCAGATTTTTAATCAGATTTTCTTGATGTATTCATTTTTGTTAAGATGCTTTTTAAAAAAAGTAAACCTATATAAAGATAGTTTTAATTTAAAATAGGTTAAAGCTCAAAGGTATCATCATAGAATAGAGATTGTAACTTCTAATTATATACTGTTTGAGACAATATATTCATCACAGTGATGCTCAGTTTCAGTTCTCAAACTGTGGATTTGTCTCTCCAGAGACAACATCCTTGTTAATAGCAGTATATAGAGATGAGAGAACAGACCTGATTATCTAACCATCAGTCCTGTTGTCTCTCTGCAATTTGTGTACACAGAGACAAGTCCTTACCTTTCTCTAAAAGTGCAAAGTTTCAAGAATGAATAAAGGATATCAAACAACAAGAATGTACTTTTTGTAGAAAACAATGATTAAATTGAGGCTTCCTGACCAGTGATTTAAATAATGATTTAAATTGATTTGATTTAAATCAAATTCACTCTAGAGCAAAATAAGGTATTTGGGAAGTATTAATAAAAAAAAAATATTACTATGCAATGTGTTAATGTAACAACATAAATGATCTTGTATTAACAATGACATGTTTATATTAAGTGTGATTTAAAACAGTGATTCTCCACTTCTTTAAACTCAAGGAACCCCTCAAAAATGTAGCTCTTCATTTTCATTTGTTTTTTTTCACTACAGTAAACTTCTGTTGTAAAGAACGCTGAAAGACCACAATCAGTGAGAATGTTCTTAACACTATGAAGTTCCATTTGAAATTAAGGCTGCACAAAATTTTGCCGGCTGTTTCATTTTGACGCTGTTTCAACTCATTTCGAGCTTTAACAGCAAAAGCGAATGAAACTGAGCGCTTTGAAACAGCCTCGAAACGAAACGAGGGCAGTTGAAACATTTCAAAAGTTTCGAAATGTTTCAAGTTTCGAAGCTGAAGCAAGCTGGGCTTGCCTGCAGGGAAACAGAAAGTAAGGAGAAGTACCTCATCAACCTCCTAGGTACAGAGACTCGTGGACTCAATACAGACATTGGAATTCTGACACACTACAACCTGCCTGACATCTGACTCCTCAGGTACCTTTCCACTTTTACCTGCGCTGCTACATCCTCCTTCCCCACCCCCCAACCCCAACCCCAGCCTGTCCCTCACCCCCTAACGCCTCCATTTCCATTTTAACTGACTGGCTTTCTTGCCTGCATTGCATCCCAGCCTCTGGCTTGTTCACTATTCCTTCCGTCCAGGAACAGCACACACCAACTGCAGGTGCTTCCTCAGCCTGACAAAGGGGTTTTCAACCTGAAAACTTGCTAGGATACATTTCTGTAACTATTCAGTCGGTCTGTTAAAAAATACCAGATTAGATCGACCCAAGGAACCTTGTCTACCAGTGTCATGTCCTTAGACCAACACCCCTAGCACCTGTCCCCAGTCAGCTGATCAGAAGGACACAGGGCCCTGGGCACATCTAAGCCCCTGGGCTGGGGCTGGCAGAGAGAGTTCTCTGGCAGCTGCTGGAGAAGCTCCTGCAGGAGAGGAAAGAAAGGCTCTGTGACAGTTTGGCTGCCTGAGATGCTGCTGGTGCTACTGTGCTGCTAAGTTATTATTACCTGCTGCTATCTAAAGTGGTAGACTGGACTGAGGCAGTACGGGAGGAGGAAGACTCATTGGGGCACATTACCATATCGTGTAGAGGCCCCAGCACCACACACACGTCACAAGTTTTGCTTGTCAGCAGTTTGAGGTGCAGTTTCCCAGAAACCCCTCTACCTATCTCCTTGAAACTTGGCAGGCTTCATGCCCTCAGAAGGGGCTACCAACCCTGCTGTTTTCATTCAAAGACACCAAAAAATGACAAAGTTATAGGAAGTTTTGTGCTTCCCTATTATAGCCTATAGATGAAATGTCAAAACAGCAAAAGTTTCGACAAAAAAAACCAGAACAACGCTTTCAAAATGAAATGAAACTCGAAATGAAACACTGTCCCATCAAAACGTAAGTTGAAATGAAACGGTGCTGTTTCGCACAGCCCTATTTGAAAACTCTGGGTTTATCTTACAAATCATGTTTGTATACCTAATGTGCCAACACTGAGTGACACCTCACAGCACTCTTGAAAGCATCTCAAGAGAAGTCAGGGTGCTGTGGTACCCTAGTTGAGAACCACTGGTAGAAAAATAATCAAAACCTGTATCTGAATTTACTTAACTAATATGGTGGTTGTGCAATAGAGAATACAATCTCAGTTACCAGGGCAGTACAAACAGAGGCACAACTGATTTTCAGCTGACGACACCAAACTTCGGGGCAAAGCATCCACACCTGAAGACAGGAGGGCGAGATCCAGGCTGAGCTGGACAGGCTCAGCAAATGGCCGGACAAGAACCTGATGGTGTTTAACACCGAAAAATGCAAGGTTCTCCACCTTGGGAGGAAAAACCTGCAGCATCCTTATCAGCTCAGCTTGACAGTGCTACACTGGCTAGTACTACGGAAGAAAGAGACATCATTGACCACAACATGAACATGAGCCTGCAGTGCGATGCTGCAGCTAGTAAAGTGACCAAAACACTGGCTTGCATCCATAGATGCTTGTCAAGCAGATCCCAGGACGTCATTCTCCCCTTGTACTCAGCCTTGGCGAGGCCACAGCTGGAGTACTGCGTCCAGTTTTGGCCTCCACAATTCAAAAAGGATGTGGAGAAGCTTGAGAGAGTCCAGAGAAGAGCCACGCGCATGATCAGAGGTCAGGAAAACAGACCTTACGATGACAGGCTGAGAGCTATGGGGCTCTTTAGCCTGGAAAAGCATAGGCTCAGGGGTGATCTGACGGCCACCTATAAGTTTATCAGGGGTGACCACCAGCATCTGGGAGAACGTTTGTTCACCAGAGTCTGCCAAGGGATGACGAGGTTGAACGGTTATAAACTACTGCAAGACCGTTTCAGGCTGGACATGAGGAAGAATTTCTTTACTGTTCGAGCCCCCAAGGTCTGGAATAGCCTGCCATCTATGGTGGTTCAAGCACCTACATTGAACACCTTCAAGAGTAAATTGGATGCTTATCTTTCTGGGATCTTATGACCCCAGCTGACTTCCTGCTCTTCAGGCGGGAGGGCTGGACTCGATGATCTTCCGAGGTCCCTTCCAGCCCTAATGTCTATGAAATCTATGAAATCATATGAAACCGTCTATAATTTATCTGTATGATTTAAAGATGAACTGCACAGATGACCTCAAAATTCCATTTTTTCCCCCCCAAAAATTTGAGCTAACATTTGCCCTAACCATTTAAGTGGGTACTCAGAAACATCCGGCATAAATCTAAAGTTACCACCTTTCAGATCTACCAAATTTGTGTCAGGTGACAACTTAACATTCCACGTGTTAAATACTTACAGCCACCCACACCACAGAACTCTGGAACTCACAAAAGATAAGTTTCTTTTTAAATTATTTCTGGTGCCCTCAAATGGAATGAAACTTTGACAAAACAAATAATGGGATAATTCATGGTCCCACAATGAACACTGTGAAAAAGCAGCGCTGAATAATGACCATGACAAAACTGGAGACCGCAGACAATACCCGGGTGTCATAAACATACTTTAAAAATGTCTATGTATTATGAAACTTGAGATTTTCATTTAAGTCACACTGAAAAGTTCTAAAGGAAATTTACAATCCACCTTCTGACAGGGTGGAAGCAAGAGATTATGGTGAAATTTAGATGGTACTGAAGGAAGAGAAAGACAGAACAGAACTCTACATTTACAGACTCAAATCTCCATGTGTGCAGCAACCTGAGGACACTAAAATAAAACTACAGTAAAATCCAGATGTGTTGCCAGAGATGGTTTTTGATAAACTTAATGTGCAGCAATTTACCAAATTAAGAATGAGGTGGTTATCTCCACTGGCAATTTTTCAGCTCTCCCCATGATGGTAAAGGGGAGACACTGCCTTGGGTACATGTAAGATTCCCTGTGTATTACACAGCATATTAACTGGGGTATCCCCTGTGCCAAGCTGTGGAGCAACCAGGCCAGCTTTCAGCATAGTCTGGGCACAGCCAGAATCAATGACAGCCAAGATAATCACAATCCCGATCTTGACAATAACCGTAGGCTTCAGGACTCCCGAGATGATCTTCTGCCGACCACAGCTGCAGTCCATCATTTCATCATGCGTCTCCTCCTGGAATCGCTCATTCTGATGTTGTGGGGTTTCCTCCTCGTCACCCCTCATGGGTCCGCTGAAGATCATATCATATGCTCTGGGGCCCCACATCAGAAGCATACCAGCTCCCATGATTAATCCTTCTGAATGGTCAGGCTGGGCCCGGGGAGGGCTCAACTTTCTTAGTCGGGGCCCCCTGGTGGATGGGAGCTGGCCCTGCTCTGACAACTTTTCCTTTTCCCATCTTCTCCTTCAGCAGCAAAGGCCTCCACTTCCTCCAACATTTGAGGCTGGTACTGTCGCGCCCACCTTTGTGTGTCCTCCTCCAAGTCTTCCAGAAACTGTTCCAGTGTAAAGATCCCCAAGACTTCTGTTTGGGTTTTGTCTCCTGGCTTAATCCACCCATCTATCAGATCTTGCAGCATCTAAGCCAGAAGACAGAGTTGCTGTTCCTCCCTTCTCTTCTTGGCCTGAAATTGCTATCAGTAATATTCCAAGAAAATTTCTAGCCAGTATGGGATGATGGCTTTCACCTCATAATCTGTAGCCTCATGTCTGACTCTTACATCTTTTATTTCAAAGGGCACTACTTTTCCTAGCGATTCTCAACCAGGGTGTATTAAGACCTTTAAGGGTAACACAGGTTTCAAGGAGGTAAGCACTGTAATAATCTAGTTTTTGTAAATGGGGTGCCACTAAATTCACAAAAGTAATGAATCATAGAGAAGGGCTGGAAAGGACCTCCATAGGTAATTTAATCCAGGGGTTCCCAACCTTTTAGTCTAAGGACCGGCAAACCGTGGGTCAGAAGTGATTCTGGATCACCAAACTGCAGACCAGCAGTGACTGCAGGCAGGAAGCCAACCTTTTTTTATATTCAGTATAAAAATGGGTTGGCTGCTGATCCGTAGTATGCCAGTCACTTCCAGTTTGCAGTTAGCCAGTGTGCGGTCACTTCCAGTCCAGCAGCCAACCCTCCTGCGGACTAGCAGCCAACCCTTTGCGGCCCGGCACCAGGCCACAGCTCAGGGGTTGGAGACCCTTGACCAATCCAACCCCCTGCCTAAGGAAGGATCGTCTCTATCAAAATCCTCTTCTACGTGGTCAAGCCTGACACAACACAAAACATAACACCCTAACCTGTCACAGGTTAAGCAGGCAGCCAATGTCCTGCTGCTGTAAAGGCTGTTAATATACATTCAAGAGATCCCAGGAAGAGGGAATCCTCTCATTACAGAGGAAGGCAAAAGCCCCCACAGTCCATGCCAATCTGACCATAGGGTACAACTTCTTCCTGACTCCAAATATGAAATAGTCTTACTGTGAGCAAAGGTGCAAGAATCTCTAAGTCTCAGCTGAAGCACTGGCACATCCCAGTCAAAATCCCCAGCCCTGGCTGCAGCCAACACCCAAAACAAAACAAAACAACCCTAACACACAGCAGCAGGAGGGGGAAGAATTACTCCCCAGCCCTATGAGGCAATTAGCAAAGTCCAGAAGCATGGAAAATACCCACAAGCAGCGTAGTGCCTCTCCAGGCATCAAGAAAAGGCACAAAGATCTGATGCACAATTCATACAATCACGCTTCCTGCCATGCCACATGTGCACAGTTTAAGGCCCGACTGTGGGACCATGCATCAGATCCTACATGCCTTATTGCCAGTTCAGGAGAAGCCCGGGCTGCAAGCTCCTAGGCTTGGGGGTGCACATGCAACCCCTTGCTGGGAGCTCTGACCAGCTGACAGGGCTCCCAGCCACAGGGGCACCCCTGGCCACATGTTCAATTAATGGTGTGATAGGAAGGAGCCACAAAGTTACATTTTTTTATGTAATAATATTGGTGACTTATTCCTTATTTTATCACACCATTAAATACTTGAACATGTCATCAGGTCGCAACTTTAAATGGTGATTAACTGGTTAATCTCATCTTAAGTGTAACGTGTGGCAGGGGTCATAGGCATAGATAGCTATGGCTAGATCATCTGCTACCAGTGGCTGCTCAACCTCTTCTTGAACACCTCCAGTGACGGAGTCCACAACTTCCCTAGGCAGTCTATTTCACTGTCTCACTGTTCTAATAGTGAAAAAGTTTATCCAGATATCCAATCAAAACTTACTTTGCTGCAACTTAAAGGTCACTGGTCTGTGTCCTACTCTCTTCAGGAAAAGAGACAAAGGTGTTCCCCTTCTTTATGGCAGCCCTTGAGTTATTTAAAGACCATTATCATTGTCCCCTCTTAACACGTTTTCAGCAAACTGAACATGCCTAACTCCTACCTCTCCACATATTGATTTGCCTTTCAAGACCTTTATCGTTGTTACCTGCCTCTGGATCCTCTCTGATTCTCCATATTCTTTTTAAAATGTGAAGCCCCAAACCGCACACTATACTCTAGATAAGGCCTAACCAGTGCCGACTAGAGAGGCACCATCATTTCCCATGCCTTGCACCTAATGCTTCTATTGATGCATCCTAAAACTGTATTAGTCTTTTGTGCAGCTGCATCACACTGCACTCATGTTGACTGTGGAATCTACCAAGACTCCCACATCCTTCTCCATAGCACTGCCATCCACCCAGATGCCATTCATTTTATATTTGGATTTTGATTATTCTTCACAAGGTGTAGCACCTGGCATTTGTCAGCACTGAATTTCATTCTGTTAGCTTCAACCTAGCTTTCCAATTTATCAAGACAATTCTGAATTGTACTTCTCCAATTGACCGCCAATGTGTTCAAAATCCTTTCCATTTTTGTGCCATTTGAAGACTTGCTCAAAAAGTTTTATATTGCCAACAACCAAATCATTAGTAAACAAGCTGAACAACACTGTGCCCAGCACAGACCCCTGTGGGACTCCAATCAAAGCCTCTTGCTGTTCTGACCTGGATTCATTTATAATTACCCTTTGGCTTCTGGCTATTAAGCAAGTTGTCCATCCACCTAATAGTAGTTTTGTCCAGTCCACATTTCTCCAATTGGTTTATGAAAAGGCTACGTGGGGCCTTATCAAAAGCGTTCCTGAAGTCCAGTTGATTCCCTTCACCCACCCAAGTAGTTACTGTCAACAAAGGAGATCAAGTTTGACACAGTTTTTTTCCTTTGTAAATCAATGATGGGCACTTGTAATCAGCCTTTCCTCCTCCCGATGCTTGTAAATTGACTTCCTTATGATATGCTCCAGGGTTGCCTACAGTCCAAAAAAAGTTGAGAATCGCTGGCTTGTCCATTCACCCAGATTATAGGTCATTGAAGCAGCAGCATAATCTATATTAAAAAAAAGGGGTGCGTGCGTGTGCATGCACCATAGCTCCAAGACCATGATACCTAGAGACCTGAAACTTTGCATGCATACTAAGGGGACCCTGGGGGTGTGCACCTGGGTGTTATTTTTTTATTTGGCTCAAAAAAATTTCGCTGATTTTTTGCTCTATACTGCATAACCCCATGACAGGTCAGCCCCAGGAAGCAGAATAAATTTGCATGTGCAAAACATTCTTTAGCAAAGCTCAAAGCTCCTGGCCAAGGTCAACTGGTACATCTGGAGAAGGCTCCACATTTAGGAGTATTCCCCTAAGGGCTGTGGTTGGGACTGGTTAACAGGACCTGGGAGCACCCACAGGCGGAGTGAGGGCTTAAGGAAGGTCCAGGGAGAAAACCGTACTGGACCTTCTCAGGGACTGATTAGGAGGTTGTGAGAGGCATTCCCCGTAAGGCAATCTACAAGAAGCAAACTTGCCAAAATCGACTTGCAAAAGCTGCAGCCAGAGCAGCTGAGACTCCAGAGCAGCAAGTTGCAAGACGAGAAACAAATAGAGCAGCAAAGGCTGCATCCAGGACTGGCCCTAAAGGGAAAAAGAAAACTCTGCATTCTTCTACAATCCAGCCTTGAATTACAGTTCTGATCCATTAGTTGCAATTGGCTCAATGGCGACTTTTTGTAGCCACTGCCTTGCAATTTGATGGAAAGGAGAAGCTCCAGGGATATGCTGCAACAGTGTCAAGGTTCAACTGCCCCAAATGAATGATCCTCCTTGTCAAATCCTCAACAACTATGGGACAACCACAAGGAGAATCTGGCACAGGATATTTTGCATTGGGCACAAGTGCAAAATCCAAACCTTGAACTGGACTACAGTGATGCCATCTTCAATCACGCTCTCATTATCACTGAAGACAAGATCAAGGCTTTGGGTGGCTCTGACCTCAAAACTTGTGGCCTTCCTGACCCACAACGAGACAATGATAATGAGCTAATAAATGAAATTTTGAAAGAGATCAATTACAACATTGATGACCAGCTTACTAAATACATACACTATAATGAGCCAAGTCTGGTCCCAGATCAAAGAGAAGCCTTCAACAAGATTACTCAAGCAGTTTTCAATGGGAGTGGTGGCACCTTCTTTCCAGATGCTCCAAGTAGAACTGGGAAAACTTTTCTCCTCAATCTTCTTTTGGCCAAAATCTGGCAGACAAACAGGATTGCCCTTGCAGTGGCATCATCAGGCATTGCTGCCACACTGCTGACAGGAGGAAGAACAGCTCACTCAGCCTTCAAGTTGCCCTTAAAACTGGCAAGTGCAGAGGCACCAACCTGCAACAACACTGCCGGGGTACTGGCAAAGCAAACGTCCTGCAGAAGTACCAGCTCATTGTCTGGGATGAGTGCACAGTCTCTCACAAAGCTGCCTTAGAGGCTCTTGATCGCATCCTCCAAGATCTTCGACATAATGACAAAACAATGGGAGGAGTGACTCTGGTGTTGGCTGGGAATTTTCGACAGACACTGCCAGTCATTCCACATGGAACCAAAGCTGATGAACTGCAGGCTTGCCTCAAAGCTTCATACATTTGGAAAAACATTCAGGGACTCAGCCTCATGACCAACATACGAGTGCATCTAACACAGGGGTGGGCAATTATTTTGGGTGGTGGGCCGCTTACTGAGTTTTGGCAAGCCATCGAGGGCCACATGACAGGCAGCCAGGGGCAAATAAATATTAATTTTCTAAATTTTTTTTAGAAAGCAGCCATGGGCCTGATAGAATGGCCTGGTGGG